CTGAGGGGATGGGGGGGGGGGAATGGAGGTTGTTGAATGGCTAGAGAAGAGTAGCCACCTCCCACTTCAGAGGCAAAGAGGAGTCTAACGATGGTTTCGGTGTGGCGCTTCGGCCTGTTGGATTGAAGGAGCAAACCAACATGGCTGCCTAATGAAGTCATTTTTCCCTACTTCAACAAATGCACTGGGGAAAATCCTGTCAGCAGCCAAATGAGGATTTATCAGATCTGATGCATCACCTTTCCTTAAGCACGTCAAACCGTGACAGAAGAATGTGCCAGCCTCTTGCTACTGCTGGCGGGAGCCTAATTAAGAGAACTGACGGCTGGCTTCTGCATCCCTGATGGGATTGGGCAGAGCCCACCTGGGCCCAGTCATCAGATCCAGGCTGCAGAAGTCATATTTAGCCCTCTTCCTGCCCTGGGGGGAGAGGTTCGTTTAGCCGATGATGCAAGGGGAAAGAATAAAACCCAACCAACTTGTGGATGTTGACCTTTGCAGTGAAAATGGGACCCCTTTCCTTCCTGAGCAGTTCAGTGTCTCAGCTTCCCCCTCCCTGGCTCTCCTTGACACATTGCCTTCCGGAAAACTCTCCTGTCACAATGAACTCATCACCACCCCCTTCTTGAGTTCGTCTTCTTTTTTAAAAATTGGCTTCCTATCATACTTGGCATCAGCCTCCAGCTTCTTCGTTCTTTTAAGAAGAGAAGCCTCCTGCATTTCTATTGCTGCCTATAGCTCGATTCGCATGTAAACAGAGCGGCGTGGGCGACACTTCCCTGTAGCTCCTACCCACATCGCTCAGGCCAGGCATGGGAGGAAGAAGCCATGAGGGAAATCTCTCCCACCCCTTGAGTGTCCCTTGGGCTCCTCATTGCCATATCTACTCAGCATGGATGATGGGAACTAGCCTGGGCAGAAACTGTCTATCTCTGTGGCCACCCAGCCCAAGCCTGGTTGGCAGACCAAATAAATAGGACAAAGGAAGCTGGCCTGTTAGGGCAGATGGCGCCAGTGCCCCACCATTCCCACTTGCCTGCCTTGGATGGCCGAATGTTCTTGTTTATACAGGGCAACCAATACTTTAAGAATTTCCCATTTAAAATGATAATAATAATGCGTCTGAATTTCGTACACAGCATTGTGCCTGGGAAATTTGTTGCATTTTTCATTTGCTTCTAGTCAGGGGTGCCATCTTGGAGGGGGGGAGGGGCCAAGGGACTGCCAAAATTTTCAAGGAGGGGGCCGGCCCCCTCAATATTGTTCAGCGACTTGCACTCAAGCCACGCAACGTGCTCACGTCATGCGAGCAAGTGGAAGAAGATGGTGTGCCTGCTTCTAGTTCTTCCTGGCTTTTTACTCATTTGAGTTAATCTTCTACTGAAAAAAAAAGCACTGCAAAAAATTGTGGGAGGCAGCTACCTTAATGCACTCTTTGGTATGATTCAAGATTCCTTTGGTGTGGTGTTTCACCAATATGTGTGCCAGCAGTCCTAATGGTGACTTGGTAAGGCACCACAGGGGGGGAAATTAAACCCAATTTGATGTGATTGTACCTACAGATTTTTCAAGATTCTATTTGTGTTTGGTTTCCACCAAAACGCAGAAGCAAATGTATGCACCCCAGTGCTTTATTTGTGATGATACTCTCTGGCATGAAGTGCCTTCACTTCTTTATTTTATTTTGCTGCTCTTGACAGCCATTAAATGCTGGCACCCATGGTACTTGATCAAGATATAAGTACCAGCAGCTTGTGATTTGTTTTTTTAAACCAAAAAAAGCACCGAGTTAAACACACAAAGGATCTTGATGCTCTCATAGTAGGATTGCATCACTGCTGGCTTTCTAGCAACAGTAATGTGGAGGTGCAGGAAAGATGCAAATGAACAAGGGAGGCGGCAGCTCTGCAGCAAACGGTCCATGCTCTAATTTTAGAATTAATCTTAGACATCCTAGTTAAACCAGAATCCAAGAGGAGCAAAGCACAGGGCAGAGCGAACCAGGGGAGCAATAAAAGAAGAGAAAAGGAGATGTCCTCCCATCTCTAAATGCAGGAATTTTACTGCATCCCCATAAAACAAGAGCCTTTAATATAACAATCGCCTTTAATTCACCTCAAGCTATTCACAGTAGCAAGGAACTGATAACTGGGAGCCATTTAAAAGGCAGTTGGCAGTGCAAGGGTTGGGAGAGTTCCTGGAGACTGGAGTTGCTCCAACAAACTCTAACGTCTTGGTTAGATTCCCCCAGCTGGGTGCCCTCCAGCTGGTCTGCCTGGGGTTGATGGGAGATGTAGTCCAAAACATCTGGGGGGCACCAGGTTGTAGGAAGCTAACCAGACGTGACCCTCACATCCCAAAGCAGGGTGGGTTGACAGCCAGAGCTTCATTCCTTTAGTGATGATGTGATGAATTTAAAGAGGCAGCGTTCTGTCTTGTGACCATGCACTGCTGCTGTTGAAAGCGCTCCAGACCGAGTCCTGTTCCCTTCTTCAGCGGTGAGAAGAATAATAGCCTTGTTCCATTGTAGGCGGGCTGCTGTTGTTTGGGTTGTTTGGATCAGGCCCACAGAGATGTTGTCTTGGTGGCAGCGCTAGGAATTGCAGCTCACATTTATTAACGCTTTATTAATATTTCAGGAATGGGTCGGAAGTCTGAGCCACTTTCTCTAATAACTTTTTATAATGCATAATATAAAATGCATTGGCCATAAATCACCAGGCGGTCACACCTTGGCAGGCTGCTATAGTGTGTCTAATCAGCTATTGACAAGGTTTTAACAATTTATGGCGAGGGTGTGTGGGCTTAAAAAGGGATTATTCAGGTTATTACGAGTGCCACATTTCAAGCTTGGCCAGAAGCACATTGCTCGCCTGGCCAGTTTTGACTTGGGACTTCCGGGGGCTTCAAGTATGAACCTTGAATCAAGCGTCCGGATCATAATCTTGTTCCACCCACTCTGGAACTAAAACTTCTGAACATTCTCTGGGGGGAAACAATGAATGGCAAGCCTTACTCCTGCAGAGCTCACACAAACTTTACACACTTCTCTTATGGCCTGTGCAGTAACCTCTTACATTTCTGCATCTTGAGGGCATTTGAGGTTGCTCTTGAGGGCACAAGAGCAGGGCCAGTTAAAAGGTGGCAACCCTAGAAGCAGAATGCAGTCATTCCTGTGATGGGACTGGAGCAGGAAGACTCCACTTTGGAAAAGCTGCCCCGTTGCTCCATACTGTAACAGGCATTTGACTGTTCTGAGCACATTACCTTATTATCCTGCCATGATCTTTACATCAGCCCTGCAAGTTGGGTGGGTATTACACCCATGCTGCAGACAGGAAACTGAGGCTAAGAGACAGTGGCCCTCCAGACCTTTCTATGCAGCCCCAGCCCCTCCATCCTCCCTGCAGCCACTCTTTGAGTGGCTGAAACTACTTCCTGCCTTGCCAGAGGACAGAGAGGGGTGGCAACAAGCCTGCAAGCCAAAAGTAAGATACGCATTTGTTGCTCTACCCATTTTGGCCTCTGTACCCTGCCCGCTACTGGCATGTGGCCCCCAGAAGGTGGTCTAGAAGTGAATGTGGCCCTCAGGATGGAAAACTTCCCCACCCCTGATCTAGAGCATGGGTAGGCAAATTAAGGCCCGGGGGCTGGATCCGGCCCAATCGCCTTCTATATCCGGCCCATGGACAGACCGGGAATCAGCATGTTTTTACATGAGTAGAATGTGTCCTTTTATTTAAAATGCATCTCTGGGTTATTTGTGGGGCATAGGAATTCGTTCATTTTTTCCCCTTCAAAATATAGTCTGGCCTCCCACAAGGTCTGAGGGACAGTGGACCGGCCCCCTGCTGAAAAAGTTTGCTGACCCCTGAGCTAGAGCACCTGTGACACTGAGTTTCAATGGAGGGGGGTGCCCCAGTTTTATCATTCATAGTTGCACTCCTATGCATGTTTACACAGAAGTAGCTGTGATTCCTGCATTGCAGGGGGTTGGGCTGGATGACCCTTTGGGTCCCTTCCAACTCTATTCTATTTTTCTATTACAGTGGTACCTTGGGTTACAGCCGCTTCAGGTTACAGCTGCTTCAGGTTACAGACTCCGCTGACCCAGAAATAGTACCTTGGGTCAATAACTTTGCTTCAGGATGAGAACAGAAATTGGGAGGCCCCATTAGCTAAAGTGGTACCTCAGGTTAAGAACAGTTTCAGGTCAAGAACGGACCTTCAGAACGAATTAAGTTCTTAACCCGAGGTACCACTGTATTCTATGTCCTATCGAGTTCAGCAGGACCTGTGTGTACAAGAGTGCCGTTTCGGTCTGTTTCTCAGCCGCTATGCCTACAGCAGCATTTTGCAGCCGTGCAACTGTTTTAGCTCTTTAATTCACAGAAACACACACAGAAATTAATCAGGCACAATTTCCTCTCCTAGATCGGAACATGAAATAAACCGGAGAGAAATCCGGGCGGCAATTTGACAGCACGGCGGTTCTGCGCACGAGGTCCATGCTGAAAACTCAATCAGGTTTTGTCATTTGAACATATTGTCTCCCTATTTGGTTCATTTCCATGCTGAGGGGGCCTGGTTTGGAGTTGATTGGAAATAATACATCCCTCTGGGCTCCGCATGTCACCCAGAAATTGCTGTGGAAAGATTCGAGTTGGTGTGTGTGGTCTGATAGCGCCTCCTCAAAGAGGGAGGGAGAGACGGGAAGGGGGAAGGCAAGCGGGGAGCAGGCAGGTGGATCTGATCCCTCTACATGGCAGTCACGCAGCACCAGCCTAAGCAGATTTACTCAGGAGTAGGGACGGATGAGAGCATCTGCTTCAGATTGTCTCTGTTTCTCGTTTTTCCCCAATCTTAAGCACAGTTCACCACATTGCACTTTATGTTACAAAAAAAGAGAGAAGTCCTCAAGAAAAAAAAAATCAGCCTTTTAGTACCCAATATACTTTTACCCAATATATATACAAATTACAAACACCCTTCTCTTGAGAAGTGATGTGGCTCAGTGGTGGAGCATCTTCTTTGAATGCAGAAGGTCTGAGTTCAGTTCCTGGTACTGCCAGACAGGGCTGGGAAAGATTCCCTGCTTGAAATCCAGGAGAGGCACTGCCAGTCAGTGTGGATGCAATTGAGCTAGATAGACAAATGCAGCTTCCTTTTGTGTGTCTTCTTGTCACTGATATATGCATATTTATGTGCACTTTTCCCTAAGCCATGCATTTTTCTTCACCTTCCTTTGGCTGAAGAACTGTGTAACGAAGTTCAGGGGAGCGCAGTTTCCCACAGAGAGTGGTATTCTGGCCTGTGTCATTTCAGGAAGCGCATAGGGAGGCAGAATTTGTCAAAACTGAGTTTATCCTCTATCTTATTCAGGGCGAGTGAGGTCCTCTGAGCTCAAGGGGGCTTATCCCCAAGGAACTGCATGTAAGATTTCAACCTTCAAGCCACTTATGGCCACTTCACACGTGATACTCTTGTCTTGCGTGTGCACTTAAAGACTGCCGACTGTAAATGCAACAAAGGGCATATTTTTGTGCATATGTTTGCTTCAGGTACAATTCGTGGGAGAAAAGCCTGCCTTTGATACCATGTAAGGCCTGATGCGGCCGAGACCTCCTAACTGAGTCATCACCTTTCCCTAGAAAGTAAGAAGCCAGCTATATTACTGGCCTCCAAATTCCCAGGGTTCGTGAGGGCCATTCTCTCGCTCCAGCGGGCTTGCCTCTATAAAACAAGAGAGACCATTCTAAAGCCTCGGCCATTAAAAAAACAAGGACCCTCTCCTTATCTTAGCCTTAGATTATATAAAAACATCAATATTCTTGTGCGTTAATAAAACAGGATGGATTAAAAGTCAAGTTTAAATTATTAATTAATTAATTCCCCTTCTCCGTCAACGTCTCTCTTATCTTAATATTAAAGCAGGCAGGCAGACCTGCAGAGCACTGAAAAGTGTGTGTGTGTGTGTGTGTGTGTGTGAGAGAGAGAGAGAGAGAGAGAGAGAGAGAGAGAGATTCTCCACTCGCATATTTTTAATCCTTTCTCTCTATCACTCACTGCCTGTGTTAAGACCTTGGGGTTCCTTGGTTACTATCTAAGTCAGGAACTCGGAGCCTGTCAACAGGCTCTGGCTGAGCGGGTGCTTCAAAGAACTCATTGGCTCTTCGCATTTTTCATGGCCCACCGAGTCCAGTATCCTGTTCTCACAGTAGCCGACCAGATGCTCCTTTGGGAAGCCTGCGAGCAGGACCTGAGCGCAATAGCACTGATCCCCACCCAAATTGTGATTCCCAGCTACAGTGGTATCTCGGGATGCGAACGGGATCCGTTCCGGAGCCCCGTTCGCATCCTGAATGGAACATAAGACCCGAAGGCACGCCTGCGCGTGCGCGGGTCACATTTTGCAGCTTCTGCGCATGCGCGTGACATCATTTTGAGCGTCTGCGCATGCACGAGTGGTGAAACCCAGAAGTAATGTGCTCTGTTACTTCCGGGTTGCCGCGGAGCACAACCCAAAAGCGCTCAACCTGAAGCACATTCAACCCGAGGTATGACTGTACTTGTATTCAGAGGCAAATATTTCCTCCAACCGTGATGGTAGAACACAGCTGTCAAGGTTTGCAGACATTGATAGCAGCCTCTTCCATGAATCCGGACACTCCTCTTTGAAAGCCATTCAAGTTGGTGGCCATTGGCTACATCTTGCAAGAACCAGTTCCATTAGGTTAACTGTGCAGTGCGTGAAGAAGTTATTGGATCTTCCAACTTCAGCTTCTTTTTTTATTTGTTGATACTTATTCAGATACACAGAAACACATACCCATTGAAAACTATCTTTTTATATAAAATACGGAGATAAAACAGGTACTTAATAAAAAAAGGGGGGCAATGCCACAAGGAAGAAAATACAAGAAAAGGAGAAATCTAAAAAAGGAGAAAGTAAGAGAAAGGGGAAAGGGGGGGGCGGGTTAAAGAAAGATCAGCTTCATTGGATGTCCATGAGTTCTAGTATTTTGAAAGAGGGAGAACAACTTTATCCACGCCATGCATAATTTTATAACATTCACTTCTTACTGGCCTCTTTCAACTAAAAAGTCCTCATAAGGAAGTCACTCCTTCCCCATGGTAATTCTGACCACCCCTTTTCTGCACCTTTTCCAATTCTACAATACCTACGGGATTCCTACGAGTTTCTCACTAGTCACTAGTCCATGAAGGGACGTTGAAATGGTGTTCCTCTGATTGTCCTTGTTAAAGGCTAAATACAGGTTGATGGACGGTCATCTTGGTCACCTGGGATGTCTCACAGGCCAGACTATCCAGGCCAGGCTCCCACAAAATGCTCCTTGCCTATCCTGGGTGAGCACTGGCTTGGAGCTAACATATTAAAATTTTCTTTGTTGTAAACACTGGCATCTGACAGCTGCCCGAGCATTCATTTTCAAAGTGGGGGGTTTCATCTCTTCTGTGGCTTCTCTTGCTGCCACCATCCTTAGCATATCCAGCTAAGCACTGGCACCTTTTTGGGCATCTTCAGCCTCGACCTATTGGCCAGGTATGAGGCACACCTGGTCCACTGCCTTCCAGAAATTGCCTGCCGCAAACTTATCTCTCAAAGCTCAATTGCAGAGATGGAGAGAGAAGGAAACGATAAGGCTCCCCCTCTCCCCCACGTTTCTCCATCCTCCCAGCTTGATGCAAATCAGTAATCCGCTGCTGCCCCCTAGTGGCTCTTGGGGGCAAATGCAGCCGCTAGCACAGGGAGAAGACCCTCAGCTCAGATGACTGATTCAATGGGCTTCCGTCATTCCTACAGCTGCAGGTTCATTTCAGAGAGCAACCTAGAGCAGGCTGCGTCAACATGCAGAGGCTTTCCCCTGCCTGGTCATTTCCACCACTAGCCTCCAGATAAAAATTAACCCCCCCCCAAAAAACCCAGTCATTTACCCTTGGGGTTCAACATGTCCCTCTCTCACCTCGCTGCCACTATCAGGGTGAAAACGTCATAAAGTGGGTGATCTTGAGCTGGAAAGAGAGAGGGAGGGAAAGATTGGAAGAGACTGTCTGTCTATGTGCGTGCGTGCCTCTGTCTGCCATTCAGATTTGCAGCCCATTCAGGTTGCTTAGTATTTATAAAAAGAAAAAAGAAACAACTCAGAAAAGAGGATCACAGGTCTACATTTGAGTCCAGCTGAAATCTTTGGGGACCAGCAAAGGGCAGACTAGGTGAATGTACCAGCCCTGCCCAGGCTCCATGGTTCTCAATTTGCTCTCTGTTTGCTGTGAATGCAGTTGGGCTTTGGATGAAAGGCTGCTAAGGGGCCAGGATGCCTGGTTGTTGTTGTTGTTTAGTCGTTTAGTCGTGTCCGACTCTTCGTGACCCCATGGACCAGAGCACGCCAGGCACTTTTCTCTTCCACTGCCTCCCGCAGTTTGGTCAAACTCATGCTGGTAGCTTCGAGAACACTATCCAACCATCTCGTCCTCTGTCGTCCACTTCTCCTTGTGCCCTTAGGATGCCTGGTTAATTTTAATGGTAAAATTCCCCTGCTAAAGCTTTACATTCTCAAAAACAGGGACTCAGTCCTTGGGGAGGGATGCCAGAAGGCTGTGAATTTTGTCCTTTATTCATCACATGCAGTGCTGTTTCCATTCCGCTGCAGTTCGGGGGGAAGGGGACTGTAATTTTTGCTATGGTGGAATTTTACATAACTAATAGTTGTGCTATGTTTCACACCATTTGTTTCAGTGCAAAGGAACCAGTATGCAAATTGGAGGAGGATACATCAATTATGTATTGTTACATATCATTTGCAAACTGAAAACAACAGCAATGAATATTAATCATGTTTGCTGGATTGAGATCCATTTTGGACATGGGATGAATCGGCAAACTCTGGCAATTTCTGCTCCCATTTCTGTTTTCACTGTAATGCTCCAACATCTCCTTGCCCTTGTGTGAGTTTCTTTGTCCCAGCAATTGTAGGTATGTAACTGAAACCTGCACCACACCTAGGAGAGGGCCTAATCCAGCATTTCTCTCCTAGTCTTACTACCTGAGCTTTAACCTGGGATGGGGTCAAGGGCCATACTCCCTTCTGAGCAACCTTCCAGGGGCCACATGCCAGAGGTGGGCACTGCCAGAGGCAAATATCGCCCGTAAGCTAGTTTCCACATACACGCGTATGTCCCTGTCTCTCCTTTATCCAGGCATGCAAGAGGCATCTTCAGAGGTCTAGGATACATTCCAGCCAGGCAGAAATGCTCCAGGAGACTGCAAAATAGGGTCTGTGAGGGGAATGGCCTGGAGACAGACCCAAGGACCACATAGAGTGGCTTGGAGGGCCACATCTGGCCCACAGGCCTGAGATTTCTCTCTCTCTCTCTCTCACCCCCTCCCGGTTTTAACCAGAGAGGCCTCTATTTTCTTTCTCTCCCTATTAGTTTTCCTCTCCACTTCTCTGGGTATCCAAAATGTATGCACTTGAATAAATCATCTAGCGGTAAATATTGCTAGTATTTTGTATGTTGTTCCTTAGGGGGTTGGGTGGGTAGGCTTGGCTGCGGTGTTATTTTATATTATTAATGCTGGTAAATTGCAGCATACTGCTCAGAAATAATATTTTAAACTTTATATATAATTCATAGGTCTTTTGCAGTATTTTGGAAAATTTCTCAATTAATAATAGAGCGATGGGGGATTCAACTTTCTGCATGCAAACCTGGTTCGGAGATTGCCATCAGCACCCAGGCCCTCCTGGATTTGAGTCTTGGCTTGAGGGAAAGCTCTTCTCTGGACACCAACCTGCTGTGAACCACTAGCCGTCCTGCATAACTCGAGGGTAATGTTGGATTCCCAGCTCCCATTATCCATGACCGCTGGCTGGGACTGGTGGGAGTGGGTGTGTAAGAACATTGGGAGGGGGCTTAGGCTTCCCATCCCTGGTCCTACTACACTGGAAGGAAGTGGCAAACTTAGCAAACTGGGGCTGGGAGACAGCAGGTGAGCTGGAGTTGCTGGTTGCTGGGTCTTCTCAGTGCAACCATGTTGCTTCCTGAGGT